TTGTAATTTCTTTGAAAATATAAAATAATTACTTTAGTTAATGATTAATAATAGCATTAGATTTATTTTTGATTTTTGAATGGAAAGAATAATAATAAAAAATTAATGTTATGATAAATAATGTTTATTTTTTTAATGTAGTATCGGTGTATCTAAAAAAGGCGAGAATTTAATTTCTGATTTTGGTTGCTGATTTTTAATAATCAGCTATTAACTAACTATATTTGATTTCATAAAGTACAAAATATATTTTTTTCATTCTTAATTGCTTTACTTTTTTAAGCGTGAAATTTTTGTTTTTAGATATATTGAATTAATAAATATGCTAATTGTATATTATACGTAAATAGCATATTAATTAGCATAGCAACTTTAATTAATTTATTGATTAATTAGCACAAATTAGTTTTAAATAGTATTAAAGGTTTAAATCAGCATTTATTTTGATTGGCTAGTTAGTTTCAGAAGGTTTCGCTAGTTTCGTTTAGTTTTACCAATTTCACCAGTTTCGCCAATTTCGTCTTAGTTTTGGATTATCAGAAAGTTTCAGATTTTAGTTCTTGAAAGCTGAAATGTTTTGACCTTAAGATTTTGGTTTCGCCCACACTTTTAGCACATAAGTTTGCTTTTGAAGCAGTTGATAGAACTTTTAGGAACTTAACCAAAGTTAATAAACCATTTGAAAGCATAATTGTTGTCTTGAGAGGAGATTTTAGGCAAATCCTATCTGTAGTAATTTGTGAAATACGTAGACAAATTGTAGATGCTTGCATTAAAAGTTCATTTTATGGAATTATGTTAATATCATACATCTAATTATTAACATGCAAATTCAACAATCACAAAATGATGAGCAAAAACAATTTGTAAATTATCTATTACAAATTGGTAAAGAAAAAGAATCAATGCATGCGGATATCGGTGAAGACATTATAAGATTGTATAATAATATAATCTTTAAAGATGAAAAAATTGAATCCTTAATATCAGAAATCTTTGATAATATTAAAGATATTTTGAATGATCAGACAAATTATATCAATTATATCAAAGATTGTGCAATTCTTATAGTAAAAAATGATGATATTGATAATATTAATGAACAGATTATTAACAACTTTTTTCCTGGACAATTTCAAGAATTTTTATTAGCAGATTCAGTAGAAGATAAAGATTCCATTCATCAAAATCTTTATTCAATAGAATTCTTGAATACATTGACATCAAGTGGAATACTATCTTACCGATTGGTACTTAAAGTAGGAGTTCCTATCATACTCTTAAGAAGTATTAATCCAAAAGAAGGACTTTATAATGGTATCAAATTGATTGTAAAAGGATTTCAACAGCATGTGATAGATGCAGAAATTTTAATAGACTCACATCTTGGAAAGAGAATTTTTATTCCTCAAATTAAAATAACTTTATCAGATATGGATTTGTCATTCCAATTAATTCGTCGTCAATTTTCAATTCGTTTGGCCTTTGCCATGACCATCAATAAGACACAAGATCAAACAATACCATATATGAGATTATACTTGCCTAATCCAATATTTTCTTATGGATAATTATATGTAGCATTATCAAGGGTTCAATCAAAAGATAACATAAAGATCTTGGTTAAAAGTGGTCAATTCAAAGGTAAATCAGATATATATACAAAAAACATTATATATAAAGAAGTTTTTTAATTTAAAAATTTGTATATATTAGAAAATTTGTATATATTTTAATTAATTTTGTATATAGTTTTAAAAGTATTAATTTATTTTAATTTGTATATAATTATAAAAGGTTACGATACGTTTGACTGAAAGCCATTTAACTGAATCTATTTGTCACCGCATTAAACATCATACTTCAATTGATACAGTTACTATAAAATTATTATTTATATATACATATGTGTGACAAATAGTTTTTAGTCAAATGGCTTTCAGTCAAACGTTCGGATACAATCATAAAAGTATTTATTTGAATTAATTTTATATAATCTAATTTTATACATATTTTAAAAGTATTTAAATTTAATTATATATAATAAAAAATATTTACATAATAACTTTATAAATTATTTATTAAATTAAGTGTTTAGCTAATGAGTTAGATTTAAAGTTAGGATTAGGATTAGGTTAGGGATAGGTTAGGTTAATTTATTCATCAACCCTAACGAGTTAGGGTTAGATTAGGGTTAGGTTGGTTTATTAATCAATCACAATGAGTTAGGGTTAGAATAATTTTTAATTTTAATTTTATATTTATTTAAATAAATTTGAAATTAATTTGAATTTTCACGTTACGTTGGCGAACCCCGGGGCATCGCCCGGGTAGAATTGCTAGTATTTATTATATTTCCTTATTTCATTATTAATCAAATTTCAATTAGTTATTTACATCTTGCATAATAAAATATAATTTTTGTGTTTTAATTACTTAACTTGGTTGATTAATGTATCATCTCCTTACTAGATTTGGAATTTTGTGTAACAGGCTCCTTGAACTTTCTTCAAGATTGTGTTTCACAAATTCGATTGATGCAAAACTGAATGCATAACAATGTGATGTGACTCTGAAAATACATATGTATATATTATTATTAATTTTTTTTTTTTTTTAAAAAAAGTCAACATACACGCGACCTGTAATAACATAAGTCAGCATGCAGAATATAGTTAGCGAAACCAATAAAAGCTCAGATAAGAATCTGACAACGACAACCTTTTCTACACCACAAGTAAACAAAGCATTAAATATGGTTACTCCCAGTACAGGTTCAACGATAGATGAATCGGACACGGAGGAAGTTGTGGTGGAAGGAGTAGCTGCCGGAGTATCTGCAAATCCTCTTAACATACCAAGTTCCTATACGCTAACTTTAAATCCAACAGTTTCAGGTGTAAAAAACGGTGGTTATTTATCAGGAGCTTCCTCGGATTCAGCAGATTCTGAAGCCAAAAGGTTGAGAAAAAAGTCACTACCTTATTATGAATCAGTGGGCCGTTCATTTAGAATTCTTGCCGAAGAAAGAGGCTGGAAGAATCCCGACAATTCAATATTTCCGATATCTGTAGCCAACCTCTGTAATTACGTTCGTGTTAAGAAGGATACGAATAATTCTAAAAGCGTGGATTGGTATATCGCGGCTCTCAAGAAGTACCAGGAACTCGTATTGAATGTCAAGGATTGGGATGAAGTCCGAAAACACCCAGAAGTTAAACGATTGATGAGTCAGATCAAAGTTGAAGGTAATTCAAAGATCGTAGGTGATTCGTCTCCAGTGACTCCTAGTGGGAAAGATAAGGGTAAAGGGAACGGAGAACAATCGATCATTGAGATCAATAAAAACAATTCAGAGTTCCCCCATTCGAATAAGGTTAATCCACAGTTTGGGTCTCATAGCAATTTGTCTTTGCAAACTTTTTCTTCGACTAATAAATTTCCTGGACCTGCTGAAACTGCACTTGCTTTACTCGGTCCTTTTATGGTCGATGATGATTCTATTGGCAGGAAGGATCCCATTTTGTCGAAAAAATTAGTTGGTGAGAAATGTATCGAATCGATCACAATAAGTCAAACTACTTTTTTTTTTTTTTTATTATTCATTGTCATGTCTTGTAGACGAAACACTTGATTTCGATACTCCGAATTACGAACCTTCCACATCTAAATTTACCTCTCGTTTAGTTGATCCAATGGTTATATCCGCCTCAGATGACGATGAAGATTATCTTCCTCCTATTAAAAGTAAAATTTCGATAATTTCCTGAATTTCCATAAATTTTCAAATTATGTTAACTTATAATTAAATAATTAGAATCATCACGTGGTTATATTCCTGATAGAAAAAGTATTTGATTATCTCCGTTAAATACAATCATTAAGTTAGTTTCAACGTAACTAATTTTTTTTTCTTTTTTTTTTTCTTTTTTTTTATAGGACGTCGAAAACGACACTTAGACTCAGAATCACATTCAGATGATGTGATAAAATTTTTTTTTAATTTTCTATTTATTATAATGTCTTACTTTTTTCTTAATTTTTTTACTTAATGATTTTTTATTGTAGGATGAACCCGAAAGTTTTAAATCTCGTTTTGAAAACGCACTAGGCGTTCTCAAGTCGAAATACGTGGATGCCTGTAAAAATCATCCAAATGGTTGTTGTACAGTTAAAACTGGAAAACATTTCGTACTGAATGATAGATTGCTTCGGCGTTGGGCTTCATTATGCGTATGTGCTAAAAAAAAAAATTAAAATTTTTTAAAATTTGAATTTTCCTCATCTATATTTGTTATATTTTAGGCTTCTGGTGACGATGTAAATGAAGATTCATTGCCATATTCAGATGAATTAGAAAGGGATTTCTCTGAACTTAAAGCAATTCTCATTTAAAGATAATCTTAAACAGATCATTAAAGAAATTTAATTTTTACTATTGATATTGGATAATGTATAATTGCCTTTTCAAATCTTACATATAATATATTTTACTTTTTATTTTAATAATGTAAATTTACAGTTGTAAATAGTTATTTCTAATCATACCTCCACATTGCTACTTCAACAAATAATTTAATAATATTTATATTTTCATATTAAACGCCATACATATTTCTTGTATTCTCTCTCGCATTCCTCATGACTTCATCCAATTCGATTCCTTTAAGTTGAGCAATTTTTTCGGCAACCAAAGGAATCATTCCAGAATGACTAATAGTGACTTTGTCAAAAGATCTCTTATTTTTATTTAATTTGGCGGGAATCATGTAAGGAGCATCAGTTTCTAATAAAATTCTATTTAAAGGAACAATATCTTTGATGATATTTTGAGTATTTTTAGCAGAACCAAAAGTAACAACGCCAGTTATACCGATATAAAGATTAGGAAAATGGTCTAATAATTGTTTTGCAAATCGAGGAGAATCGGTGAAACAATGAACATGAATTTTCCATTCTTTGGGTACATTATTACTTAATATTTCCCAAGTATCTTCTTCAGCTTCACGAGTGTGTATAACTAAAGGTTTTTCCAATTTAATAGCTTTTTCAATTTGCTTCAATAGAACACGTTTTTGAATATCTTTTGGGGAATTTTTATAATGATAATCCAGACCAATTTCTCCTAGTGCGATACATTTCGGATGATTAAGGATACTCATCATATTATTTTCAACATAATCATTATAATCTTTTGCATTATGCGGATGTACTCCAACTGCTAAATACATAAATGATGTCTTTGCCATTACTTGCCAATCCATAAACGTATTTGGAAATATTTCATTTGAATTGAAAGATAATGGATCACATAATACATTTATACAACTTTCAAAATTTGATGGAAAATGATCTCGTTTTAATATATCATAAGAGGTTATATTAAATACGTCTGGTAGTTTTTCTAGAACGTAATGTAAATGCGCGTGTGTGTCAACATAAGGTACCTCGGAAATTGATAGTTGTTCTTTTGACGGAAGAGTTGTATTACTTTTTTTTGGCCATTCGTTTGATCGTTTTCGTTCCTGTTGGGGTGGAGCGTTATGATTACGGTTATAATATCGATTGTTTGACATTTTAGGAAAAAATTCTCGTAATCGTAAAATTGATTTTGTGAGAAATAAACCTTTGGAAGTAATTAAAAAAATCATTATACATATATATTTATGAATATATATTGATATTTTTGATTGGGATCATCTTTCCGTATTCGGAATTTATATATCCGAGCAAAATTTCTTTTTTAAGAATCTCTCTTGTGAATTTAAAAGCATGACACTAGAAAAAATATAAATTTTTGAATCGTTTATGTAGTAAATTCTATTTATATGCGAAACTGTTTTTAATTTAATACAGTTCCCATCAAAGTAAATTAAATTCGAAAAAACTGTAAAATGATACGTAACGTGACTTCAAAATTCACAGACCAACCATTTTTCAATTTTTCAAATTTTACACAAATTACAGACTAAGTTGATCGACTAATTATTGACCAAAGACCTTGCCAAAGAATTGACCACCAATCATATTGATGAACAAATCTTCGTGAATTCATTATAAAAAGGCTTTAGTTGATCGTATAAATAAATGATAATGTTGTATATTAAAACAAGTAATACAAAAAAAAAAGTTTTAATACGTACATATATAAAATGGAAATATCAATGTTATGCACCATTATCAGATAGCCGAATATAGGATATACCTTAAATAGAAACCGTTAAAAAAGTTAAAAAACCAAAAGATTCGGAAATTCTTCTATTTAAAAAGCGCATAAATTCCTTCTATCCCTCCTCCTCAACATTTTTTTCCTTACAATAAAAAAAGTTGTTTGGTAATTTTACATTTAAAAAAAAAAAAAAAATTATTTTAAAAAAAAGAGATATGAATCAGACACTTTTATATAATGACTTTGAACAAAATGAAGGACAGGATACTCTTGTTTCAGAATCTATGAACAACGGGCCTAATGATAGCGAATATACTGGACTTGAAACCATTGTTCCCGAATCCATTAATAACGTTGCTATTGATCATTCCAATGGGTTAAAACAAAACAATGACACTCAAATGGATCAATCGTCCTTAAATGCTCGAGCCAATTATAATATTCCCTGTAATTGTAAATACGCTTGTAATAGCGCATCTCCAGTAATTTATGAAAATACACAAGCCACAACCATGCAGCAACATATGCCCCTTGTAGATAATGCTTCAACTTCACGATATTTAAAAAACGACACTCCTTTGGCACGATATATCAATGATGAAGATGGTTCTTTCGTCACGCAACACTCTCCTCCTCCACACTTTACCCCCATACAACAACAACATACCTATAATAATGGTAATGGATATACAACTCAAGATAATCTTGAACATCGGTCTAGTGAGAGTCATGTTTCAACTACGCAATATGCTCCACCGCGTTCATCCAACATCAATTGTCATGAACTCTTTAGACTTGAAATTTCCGGGATGGAAATTATTTTTAGACAGAAACCTTTGACAAATTTGAATCAAAGTTTAGAAATGCGAAATGACAAACTACAAAGGCGACAACAGAATGAACAACCCAACGGAAGAATTCAAAATAGGATGCATCCTTTTCATCTGCCTTTTGAACAAAATCGTAGGCCTAACATGGTTAATAATAGAAATCATGCCGTTATTAATTCTTCTCCTCGACAACAATATCTCTCTCATCCTTGTCCTCATTCTTGTTTTCCCACGGTAACGACACCACGATTAAATCGACAGCAATATTATGTTTCTGACGTTGACGGAACTTCTTCGAACGGAAATTTTGTAAACGCTATTAATATTCATAATGTTAATAATCAATTTACAGACGATGACTCGCAGCTTCAATTCCAATGACTTTGAAATAAAATACTCGTGCGACTTTTGAATATTGCTGATTAATATTCAATAATTTTATTTTATATACATTTAAATTTTAACTTTACAATTAAGACACTAAATTTTCGAATTCATTCCATTACTTTCATCATCATTCCGAATATATGGCATTTGGCAAATTGGCAATCTGAATTATTTTTTCACAATTCTCGATTATATGGCATTATCTTTATATTTTTTTACGACTTCACAATTTTTTCTCGAATATGTAAATACAAATTTACTCTAACGGTATTTCTCGTATATGTAACTTTTGGCAATTTAATTTATAACATGCATTTTTAAACATCGATAATTATCATTCGTCTTTCTCGTTTCGATTATCTCACGAAAAATGAAAATAAAAGCTAAAAAATTTTTATGTTTCGAATTACTTAATAAAATATTTATTAAATTCTATGGAATTTATAGTTTTTTTTTAATGAATATTTATTATTTTGTAAGCATTTGAACTATGTAATTTAAAAAAATTATTTGTTTCTAATTTAATATATATTATGTACACTTTGTTTTAGGTTTAAATTTCCAAGTCAATCTTTAAATAATTGTTTTAAATTCGCAATTTTTTTTTGCAGAAATAAAAGTAACATAAACTCAATGAAATGATAAATTTATTTAACCAAACAATAAATGATAAATCGCTATAGTAAATACTTCAAAAATAAATATGTTAACGAGGTGAATGTAACAAAATTTCAAATTTGATATTATTTGACTCGGGGTAATTTTTATGGACAAAATTATCTGTAACAAATATTATCGTTATGAATAATATGATGATTTTGCACATTCATAGCGATAGGATTTACAGAATTTTCAGAAATGTAATTTTGACTTGGGTTTAATTGCGATGACGAGTAAGGATAGGATTGATCTTGTTGAAGTTGATATTGTGTGTCCAAATTATTTAAATCCATGGTTGAGTTGGATTTTGGTTTAATAATTATATCAAATCCAGGAATTTCGAATCTAAAGATTGAACATTGATTCATTTGTGATTGAGATGTATCAATAGACTGTGGTGGATTCTGATTTAAAATTCCTTGTTCACTAGTATCATAGTTGATATACTGTGGCTCGTAAGAGGAAATTATTGGACAATACTGAGAAGCTGAACCAAAGGTATCAAGAGATTCATCTTCACAAGGTATTGGATAAATGTTTTCGTTAGTCGCGGAAAAGGAATCAGCAGTGCAATTGTAAGGATCAAAGTTATGGTATTGAACTTGATTATATAAAAGTTGGTCCATCTGAATTGCATCATCAGCTGCTTGTAAATGATTAAATCCATTATCGATAAATCCAGTGAAATCAGATTGGTCAAAGTTATCATAATGGTTATAATTGGATACATTATCATATTGAACGTTAGAAATTTGATCCATTATCGTTATGAATTGATTAATTGAAGAAGTGGGGGGTTTTTTTTGAAAATAATTTAGGTTGGTTCTTTTATAATAAAAAAATGGATTATTGATTGGGATTTAATCGATTTAATCCAATTGTTCAACGTTCACACGCATATCAATTCGATTAAAATCAAAAATTAATCCAACTTTGGTCATATCAAAAACAATTGATAAGTCTAAATAGGGTAATTGGACAGGATAACCCTAGTACGATTTTGATTTATGATTTTTTATTCTTGTGCGACTATTTTCCATCTTATAGTCATGCGCCCCATCAAAACATTCCGTGAATTTAAAGTTGAGGTAGTCTGATTATCGGCTTTTCCTTAAAGACGATTTCTTTAATATCGGTACTAAACCATCGTTGTTTTTAAAATTGTATGATGGAACATATTACGCGGTTGAAGAAATGACTCTGCTGCGCCGTATAACTGGAGTATTTTCATTATTTGTAATATTGAACATTTGGTAATTTGGTATGTATTCTTGAGAATCTTGTGATCATGTGGCCCAGTTCTAAGATTTAACTATAAATGTACATAATTCTCGAGTTGGTGATACCGCAAGCAAAACTTAAAAATTAAAGGCCTCGTTTCATTAAAAAAAATCTTTCGATTTTTTTCCTTCCTTACTTTCCTTAAAGAATGGTTTTCCAAAAACGAAAATCATCCCTATTACCAACGTATAATAATAATTCAACGACATCAAAATTTTCATTAAATTTCTTTAATAATAAATTCTTAATTAAAAAGAGTTTACTCTTTGGTTTAATAATCTTCGGCTCGGTAACAATTAATTTATATTACTTTACAAGTTATTATTTGAAAGATACAACATCGGAACATTCAGATAGAGGAGAGAACTCGTTAAAACAAATTTTTTTGCCCGATGCATCACATCCTGAATTAAAAGATTTGATAATTGTGGCCGGACACGCTATTTATTTAGGTAATAATCAAGGAGGGGATGAAAAGGAAGATGAGAATTGGATATTAGAAGAATTTCAAAAAGGTGGACAAGTTAAAACTTTTATTAATCATATTAAGAAGGGAGTTGAATTGGTTAAAGAAAATGAGGAAGCCTTATTAATATTTAGTGGGTAAGGGTTCAATTACATGAAGAATTTTTTTTTTTTTAATAAAAATCTTGTTTATATATGTATATTTGAAAACAAAGGGGACAAACTAGACCATCTGCTGGACCAAGAAGTGAAGCGCAGAGTTATTACGTAAGTTAATATCTTTAAGAAATTTTAAATTTCATTTCAAAATTATTTATTGGATTTTTTTTTTCATAGGCATTGGCACAATCGCTTAACTTACTTTCAAACACAAATTTCACATCAACAACCAACACTTCTACAAATAATTATCCATTAATCACGAGAATAATAACGGAAGAATACGCTAGAGATTCATATGAGAATTTGTTATTTTCAATATGTAGATTCAATGAATACACAAATAACTATCCAAGATATATAACTGTAATAGGTTTTCAATTTAAAAACAAAAGATTTGTAGAATTACATAGATTTGCATTGAAATTTCCTCTTAATAGATTTAAATATATTGGTATTGATCCCGATAACACTAGTCCTTTAGGCAGATTTGTTGGTGAGGTAAGTTGATATATATATAATATATTTTTTAAAAAATAAAAAATGTGAATTTACCCTTTTATCCTTTTTCTTAGAATGTTAATTCCATGGGACCGTTTCAACGAGATTTATATGGTTGTCATGGTAAATTACTAGAGAAAAAATTGAATAGAAATCCTTACAGGAGAAGGTAAGCATTTTGATCATTTGTATTTACAAATCAATATATTCAATTAATATTTAAGTATCCCTTTTAAATTGTTTTAATAGTCATCCTTACCAAATTAGTTGTCCCGAATTATCTTCATTATTTAACTATTGTCCTGAAAACCAAAATCAATTATTCCCCGATAAATTGCCTTGGGAAATATTGATTAATTGATAAACTAACTGTATATTATAATATTATTTAATTTAATAATTTACCATTTTTTAGTTTAATAAAAATAAATACATGATACTAAAGTAACATGAAACAAGAAAAAATATATATATAGATAGATATAGATATTTCTATATTAATAATTTAAATAAATGGATTCAATTTTTAATCATATGCAAAAAAAAAAAAAAAAAAATGCTTAATATAAATCCAAAAACTTCAGTAATAACTTAAAAATAATATTGTTCATTCATTAAAATATTTAGTAAGGACCATTTGGCGGATAGGAATTAGGTGGATAGGGATAACCTTGACTATAAGTGTTTTGTGGAGGTGGATATATGTTTCCTCCAGTTGGCGGAGGATAAATATTATTAGGTGGATAAGGAGGTTGTTGATAACCGCCAGATGTAGGAGGTTGCGGCGGTGAAGCAGGATAAGCATTATATGAAGGATATGGCCCTCCAAATGGTGATGCTATATTAGGGGTTGGAACAGGTAATGGAAAGGCTAGATTACCACCACTATCAGGAGGAGCTCTTCCCATTTGAGGATATCCTTGTGGTTGTGTTGGATATATATTTTGTACTTGTGATGCTTGTGGCGGATATACCGAAGTTGACTGTTTCAAAATAAATAAAAATTCAAAATTATTTTAAAAAGAATTTTTTTTTAAAAAAAAAAATATTTCGTTGTTAATATTCTTACCACTGGTGGATATTGAGAAGAAACAGGCGATTGCGTTCGTTGAGGACCAAAGAATTGTGGTGGTTGAGATGGGGGAGGAGATGTACTGCCCTGGGAAGGGTAAACGTTTAGAGGAGGATATCCAACAGCAGATGGAGCTGACAAAGGTGGTTGATTCGTCGCAACAGGAGGGTAAGGTGTTGCACTTGGTCCGTACGAGTTTGGAAGTTGAGATTGAGGAGGTTGAAAAGGTGAAGAACTTGGTGCTGTAGGTTGTGGTCGTTGATTTTGTTCTTGTTGTACTTGTTTTTTTGGTGGCGGTGCATTCTATTATATAATTATAAATTATAAAGTTATAATCTGTAATATGACCTAATATGATTTTTAAAAATTACTTACAGCATAATAAAATGTCATCTCAAGAAAGACCTCGCCAGCATACTTGTTACGATATTTAATTTCGTGCCAATCTATTAATTAAAAGTTAAAACCATATTAGATTATTTAGAATTTCAAATGAAGATTTGAATTGAATTGATTTTTTTTTTTGAAAAATATGTTACCATCCCACTCTCCCTTTTCTAAAACTTGAGATAAATCTATTAAAGAGTCACCAATGAGGATAGGGTCTCGTTTATCTTCATTAAACACCTGAATTTTCATTCTCTTGCTGTTTGGAATATCCAAAAGGTCAAAACGTACTTCTTCATCCCATTCAGGATGTTGTCCACCCCTTTTTTCTGCCTTTATTCTTTTTGCTTCTTCATTTATACGAAAAGTAACGAACGGATCTCCTTTTCCGATAACATCGCGAGTAGCTAAGTTTTTCTAAATGAAAAACGGTATTTAAGTTTATGGAGATCGTGATCTGTTTCTTTCAGATTTAATGTACTTACAGCCCTGATGGCGACGACTACAAGCTCACCAAGTTTTTTTGTTTCTGACATACTCTGAAGAGCAAAAAAAAGAATTTAAAGAGAAATTTTTTGTTTTTTGAAAATTGATGTTTTGAATTTTTGTTATATATTTATTAAAGAAATAAAAGCTTAGTGGCTTCTACTTTTTTTATTTTTTTTAACTTAGACCAACGCCACTCTATCGATTTACATATGATGATCTCGGCAAGTTTTTGTTTTGTAGTTTCATTTTCTTATCAAAATAATATATAATTTGGGCAATGATCGACTAAGTGACTCCTCCTTTACAGTTATTTATTAACAACTTAAATGGTTGGAATTAGGGTGTCCAGGATAGGTTGGCGTGACAGTCTAAAAATCGCACGTGATTTTACGATTTTTATCGCGAAAAAATCGCGACTATAATTCTAGTCGAAATTTTATAATTTTTAGTAAATTGACCAAATTTATTATAGCAAAATAAATGTAAAAAATAAAATATAACAATTAACCATCCAAAAAAATTATTTTATTCATTAATTTTCATTAAGATTAATGTAAAGAAAATTAAGCATTTGAATGCTTTCTTTTTTAAGTGCCACCCTTCTATCTGACAAAATTGTTTTATAGCTAGAAAAGCTACGTTCAACATCAACACCAGACACTGGTAACCATATATATATTAATGCTAATGCACTAAGTTCTGGTAATAAATGTCTTTTACTATGCTAATATACATTTAAGTCTCATTTAATTCATTGAAACCACAATAAATGGCCCATTCTTGAATCAAATTATCAGTAGGAGAATGAAAGTCTTTAATAATGCTATAATCTGTCATATTAACATTTGCTATATTAGATTGAATAAATCTTGGATCAAAGCATTGTATTGCTTTAAATAATGATAAAGCTGAATGGTGAGAGAGATGTTTTTCACATTTTTCATAAGCCAACCCAAAAGCCTGAGAAAATAATGTAATAAATGCTTTCCTGTCACAATTTCTTTCAATAAAAATTTGTTCTATTTCGTCTGATATCAGAGGAGTCCTTTTTCCTGATACAATAAAAGCTTGAAGACAAACTATTCTTGAATAAACAAATGGAGCTACTGCTTTATTTCAGATTTTAAAGAATTCTAAATCATTAATCAACCTAATTAAAAATTTTTTAAATAGTTAATAAAGTTATTAATTTAATTAAAATTATTAAAAATTTTCTTATCTATTACAATTATATGTAATAAAACATATAAAAATTTTAACATATAAAACATAATTTTGGTTTTGACAAAAGTTATAAAGGTATTGAATAGCTTTTGAATCATGATTGATATTATATTCTGCATTAATAAATGTAATTATATGAAAATATAAAGGTTTAATCCAATACAAAAAAGAAAACTATGAATTCCATCTTGTTTTTACAGGTAATGGTGCTAAAGTATGGAATTCAATATTATTTTGTAATAAATGTTCTTTCCAACGAATTTTTCTTTATAAATTATAAATAAATATTGCTTTAAAATTTGCAACCAATTTATCAACTAATTCGAACTGTTTAAAATCAATCCATGTTTCTCCAATCAAATTAAGAATATGTGCTAAACAACAATTTTGTTTCATATTTGGTAAAAAAGAAGTTAAATGAGAATAAGCTAATTTCATATAAGAGGCATTATATGTTATAAAAAGAATAATATTTTGATAGGGAATTTTATAAAAATGAAGTGTATTCATTACAAATTGAGAAATAAAAGTAGCATCTTTATTATCTAAATATTCAGTTCTAGCTAATTTGGTTTGATTACCAAAACTAAACAAAATATTAACAGCATGTCGACCACAACTATCTGTTGTTTTATCAATTGTTAAACAAATAAGTTTGTCAATAATATTATTTTTTAATCTTTGAATTTCTAAATCATATAATAAGATAAGAAACTTTTTACGAAGTTGATTTGCACCCGTAATTAAACTTCCTATAAATAAATTATTATTAATAATAAAAATATTATAAAATTAAAATATAAATATAATTTCATACCATTTTTACAATGTTTTAACAAAAAAGGCTTTAATTTTTCAATTTTCTCTAAGGGAATATCTGCAAGAGAAAAGGCTTCAACAACTTCTATATTTAATTTTTCTTTTTCATTTAATATATTTTAAATAATGGCAAAGTTCTTTGAATGAACAAAGGAGAATCATTTCTATGATTTTATTATTTAGATGTTTTATTGTAATTAAATGTTTATCTACAGAGTCTTTTCTTTTATAGTCAACTTCTATATTACAAAATCAACACCATAATAAACTGCCTTGTAAAATATAATTCTCTCGATATTCTACACTTTGTGCTAAGCGTATGTGAGGAGCGACCATTTTTTTTTTGAGCGAAAGATAGAAGTTGATCTAACGAAAAAAATTTAGATTATCCAATCAAATTTAAATGACGTAAAAATCCAAAATTATACTAAAAATCGTGATCACGCTAAAATCGCAAAAAAAGACAAAATTGTTGAAAAATCACGATCAATAAATCCTGGACACCTTAAGTCTAGTAAAAACAATCCGCAATATCTTTCCCCAATGATAATAATATGGTTAGCATAAATTTGAAAAGCAAACAATTATTTAGCACTATGATATTGCTCATTTTTATAAATTCGTAGTATTTAGCTTTCCGTTTGAAAATATAAAATTTTTATAATTCAGATTAATAAATAAAATTTTCGAAAATATTTATTTTGCCTAAGTATGGAATTTTTAATAACTATCAAATAGCAGCAACACTTGATTATTATTTTTTGTGAACATTCAAGAAAGTTTTACTTAAAATTTTAAAAATCATTTTTATGTAATTCTCAAAATTTATGGAAAATGTACAGTCTCAATAAGTCTTTGAGTATGCTAACTTGTTAATGGTGAATGATGAACTATTAGTGACAAAAACTTCAGAGTCATGCTTTCATACAGTAAGGCTATTATTTTTCATATAAGTAACTAATTCTTTTATTTATTATTAGAAACTTGTTTCATTGGTTTAATTAAATAAAAAAGATCATCATTAGCTCTAAAATAAAAATAATTTGAGCTACTGAGTTACAATGTGAAGTTCATAGATCTTTGTAGTATTATAAGACGTGTAGTTTTGCATGACTCAAAAAAGTGTAAAATAAATCTTTTATTAGTATCAACATATTATATAATCCTAAAAAGTATAAAATAACTTTAAAGTGTCATTTTCTTTTATTTTCTTTCTTTTTATATGGAAATAATCACCCTTAGATTGCTTAATTTCTTTATAGTGTTTCGACTTGATAGTTTTCAAACTCAAAAGATACAGTAATTCATAATATCTTTCATTTGGGTTTGAATCTTTGTCTTTTTTTAAAAAAAGTATTAAATCTTAAAATAACTTAAACGTCTATACTATACTACAAGATGATTTTTTTAGGTATACTCATAGGAGATAAGCTGATAAAAAATAACTATCATTTAATAATACTTACTAAGACCTGTTAAAAAGGATTAAAAAGATATTGAATTAACAAAATTTTGTATAATTATTATCCTTTTCTTTAAATTTTTTTAGTTTCATAATATAATTACAAAATTCTGAATTCAATTTTTTGACTGAGGGTCAATTATTTACTCATTGATAAATTTGATATTATAGAAACATTACTCTTTTGGTAAGATCGCATACTTGTTTTTTTTACAAGCATTTGAAAAAAAATCTTATTTATACCAATATGAAATATTACAGTTTAAGGATCTTATCATTATAACTTTCGTGCATAAGGTTAGGTCACTTGATGAAGATTTTTTGTATTCAAATGATCAGTAAATCAAACAAGAAATAACTACTGGTTTCTTTGATGAAAAAATCAAATGCCAGAGTTTTGTAAATCTATAATTCAGCACTTATATTATTAGCACAATAGCATTAAACCTTTAAGAATATGTGAATTGCAAATAACTTAGTATAAAACTTTTTGTAGTTAATAATAATCCTCAAGATATTGTTTTAAATATATGGGTATGTTTATTTTATTATTTATATAATTTTTTCAGAATTTTGTATTAGCTAATCCTGGTTATAGTTTCATATAATAGAAAGCAAATTAGTTTGATACAAGAAAAAAGAATCAAAATATAGAAAGTTATTGAGATTAAAAGTTGAGTAGAAATGGAATCTATAGTAGGAAAAATAAAAAATTTTTTAGTATAAAATGCATTTGAGAATTTCTCAAAACTTTCTTTACAAAAATATTTATTTTATTGAATGCAAATATTTATTAGAATATTTAAAGTTAATATTTAGATTAAAAAATAAATATTCTTATACTTATAAATATAAATATAATACATCTTTGTAATTATCACCAAAACATTTTCTTGTAGGTATTTATATTCTTATACAATATCTAAAATACATCAAAATAAAATAAAAAATCTATCTTTTTTTTATTGAGATACATATCTAGAAAAGCATTATGTTATATTTATGTTTTTGAATTAAATAAAAAGAACTTATCATAATAATATTTAATTATAATATAATAAAAAATAATTTGTTTATTTAATGATTACAAACTGCTTTTTGTTATAATAATTACTCTATATATTGTAGTGTTCATTAAATAAATATTTATAAAATTTGATTCAAATAAATTTCAATATATATAAAAAATTGAATATAATAAATATATTTTTCAAAATTGATTAAATAAAATTATATATATTAAGTACTTATTTCACTTATTTCATCATCTGTTATAATTATATTCTCTATAAATTAAAAATATAATATTTAATATAATAAACTAAAATCATTTAAAATTTTTAAAATATAATTACCAATATTTTGACTAATTTTCTGTTGTATTTATTATATTTTGATTTAAACTTTTATTTAAATTTTCAGTAAAATCAAGTAAACAACTTGTATGATATGCTTTTGAATGAAATTCATCAATAATTATATTATTGTTTGTATTATTATTTTGATTTTGATTTAATATTTTATCTGCTTTATAAAACTCCA